GCAGCAATTTTCAACTTTTCAATAAAACAAGTATGAAATATTTTTTTCCAGGCATGTTTAGACTGCACTACCATCTCTGTGTAAAAGGCTTGGTGATTTATTAACGTTAACATGAACCAGAAATGGTCTTTGCTGAATTGAGTTTTTTTTTTTTTTTTTTTAACTCAATGAAAATCTAAAATGAGGAAATATGTCATTTGGGCAATTTAGTTAATGTTCCTCCTTGTAAAGATAACCCCCCTACATTAAGTAGCACTTAAACAACAGCTTTCATGTACAGCCTTATGGCGTGGTTACTAATAGGAAGTGTAATGAGGCTGACCCATGGGCCTTGTCTAATTTGAGGAGCCTGTTAAATGACTTGAAGATTTTTAAAGGTAATGTTTAAGAGCTGTGCAAAGTTCGGAGAAAGTTAGTAAGAGTTGTGTGAAAACTGAAAGTAAGAGCTGCTTTTTCAGATGTCGGAGAAGCAGCTGGAGAGATTTTAATTTACTTACTTATGCATGTATCATAGGTTTGTATTATCCATACTCAAAGAGGCTGCAGAGAGAAATGTATCTACTTAAATAGTAAGTACTCTCCTTGCTTGTTCCACAACTAACACACACACACACAAATGCACTCAGACACATTCAAATATCCAGTTTCCTTTCCTCTCAGCTCTCTTTTTGTGTCTGTCCCCTGTCTGTACTTCTGAAGGAATTCTCCATCCATCTAATTCCCCTCCTGGTTCTTTTATATTGAGGCTGGACCCCGCTCGTATTCCATGTCAAAGGCTTTTTCTTTTATTGAACATCAAATCCTCTGTGTCTCGCCTGGCGTTCTCTTCTCTCTGCTCGGCACCATGCATATTCAGGAGCCGGCGGGCGCACTGTAAGGCCGGCTAGGCCTTCCAAAATCCACGATTGTGGGCATTAGCGTCTATATTTGGGTGTTAAGTCGACCACACTGTAGCCAAGAATGAGAGTACTGGATGGGAACACAATGTTAGAAGCGTACTTTCTCTTTTGTGCTGATACTCTGTTTAATTCTCCCTTGGTCTGTGTCGTAGCATTCTCCCTCAGCTCAGGAGGCTTCACTTGGTGTCCAAAAGTTTCAACAAAGCTTTAGATGTCTTGCTGTTAGAAGCCAACATGCTGTGGCACTTTGCATACTGATTTGAGTTTTATTGCTGACTTCAAGACAAAAAAGAGAGAAAAGACCTGACTGCTGTGAATTAGGCTATAATATGCTTGGCTCACTTTATTAACAATAAAAGTCCCAGCAGAGATAATACAAGCATAAAAAACGGAAACAATTGTGGAAACAATTACTTTCAGCACTTGGCAAAATTGCACTTTCTGCATTTTCTTTATTTACTTTTCTCACTTTGTTTGAGGTACTGGGACTCAATATTTTTGCATAAATATACCCCAACAATTTGGAAACAATTTTTATTTTTAAAAGTCGATTTATTGGCACGTTTTGCAAGTATTAATTTTCTATCAATTGTGTCATTGCTTTAGGGAAAGAAGTGCTTTCAGTGTGTGACAGAATTTATAAATACCACTATTATACCCCCAAAAACCTTACTTAGAAAAAATGGCAACCTGGACTTCTGAGATGATGGTAAAGTTTTGTCTTGTCTGCCATTTCTGGAGTCAAAAGGTTAGCGTTCTCATTTTGTGTGATGTGTGGATTGTAACTCCATTTCCCAAATTTAGCGCATGGAGAAAAACGAGTTATAAGTAAATGGAAACAATAATTAAGAAAATAGGCACCACAACATAATTTTTCATTTTGTATCTTTAATTTCTCGTTGTAATAAGTTATTTAGTGTCATTTCAGCTATTCCTGGCAATTCCACACACAGCCGCTAGGGGCGCCTGTCATTGGTGGCATTGAGAAAGTTGAGCACACGAAGAATAAATCTTCCTGTTGAATGTGAACGGAAGCTCAACGTGTGTGTCTCGTCTTTCTTATGTTGAGGAAGAGGATTTCTACATTTCCCTCAGGCCATCCAAGGTTGCAGGATAGCATTAGCACCAAAATATACTGCTCAAAAAAATAAAGGGAACATTTCACTTTAATTTTGTGTGTGGCTCCAAATCCAGGCCTCCATTGGTTAATAAATTTCATCATTGATGATTTTTGTGTGATTTTGTTGTCAGCACATTCAGCTTTGTACAGAACAAAGTATCCAATGAGAATATTTCATTCATTCAGATCTAGGATGTGTTATTTGAGTGTTCCCTTTATTTTTTTTGAGCAGTGTACATTAAATACCAGTTGTTGCTATATCAACCCAGAACCAAACATGGAGAAGCATCATCCATCTTCTGTTCCACAAATCTGGAAGAAACTTCCAGAAACCTTCAGAACAGGAGCACAGAGTTCCTTTAAATCAAGACTAAAAACCCACCTGTTCTGAAATGCTTTCAATTAGTAGAAAGTTGATCAGCAGATTTGTTGTGTATTTGCTTGATGACATTTGGCAGAATGCAACATTTACAGCTTGTTTCATAGTTGCTTACTGTTATGTTTTTATGACATAAAGCACTTTGAGCTGCCTTGTTGCTGAAATGTGCTGCACAAATAAACTTCTCAGTGTGAGCTTCTGTCCTGGTGGAGGTGTCGAGGCCACAGCACTGTCAGCCCCTGTGTGTAACTGCAGAGAGAGAGCACGTCTTATTTTTTTCTCTCAGAAATAAATCAAAGCTAATTTCAGTAGCCACAGCCAAATGCTCAATTTTCAACAAGAACGTCCTCTGATGTGGAATTTAATGGTGTGGGAGTGAGAGATGTACAAGCTGCTTCCAAAATCATGAAAAGATCAATTTGACCACATTACCCCGCCGTGGAGTGAGTGTGGACGATTGGTCGTGAAGTGTCCTCTGGTTATGAAGTGGTCTCTGGACAGCTCAGACTTTGGCACAGCGACTAGGCACTGCACCGCTCAGCACAGCTTGCCACAGTTGACCACCAGCCCAGGCAGATGGCCAGCAACCAAACAGCCCTATTAGCATTTGGTCTGGATTAAACCAAATGCCCGGTGGAGATCTATCTGTGGAATAGCCATTTAACATGCTGCAGGGAAAAAAAAACAGCAGGAGCTGGAGTTGAGAGTAAAGCTGGACATGAAACATGTTGGACCACATTTCTTGCTCCAAGCTGATTCCTTTGGAGTTTCCCTGAATTACTCAGATTTTATTTTTCTTTATTGCAAGGACTTTTGATATTGCTTATGTTTGGAGAAAAAATGAAATTCCTCATTGGCAAATAGTTACTCTGGTTTATAAATATTTCAAGTAATAAAGAACATGTGATTTGCATTTATCTGAAAAGTCTTTTATTTATCCCCTCAAAAATATATTTATTGTGAGTCAAAGCAACAGGTTTCCAAAAATAGATTATTTTACCAAATGGCTTTGCACACTGACATTAATTTAATTATATTGTAACTGGGACCATATTCAAATTCACAAGTTGAATTTGAATTGAGTCTATAGTATTGAATTTTATTAGTTGACATATATACTGGTTATTAATTAAACTTGCTTAAGCCTCGATTTTAAGCAGATTGCAAGATTTTTTTAAGCCATAACGTGTAAATTCGCATGATTTTTCACAAGAATGTAACGTCTACTTTGAAATCAATGCAAACTGCTAGTTTCATGTGAAAGTAAAGCAGAAGCCAGTCGAGGAAAAAGTGGCAAAGAGCTGCACTGATAAAGTCAGTGACCTGTCATGTTACAGAGATCCCCTTGTATCTTGCTCTTGCTTCCTCTTTCACACACACACACACACACACACACAAGGGCATCATGCATGTTAATCTGAACTGATTGCATGTCCACTTATATAAATTATGGACTGTGCTGGATGCATTATTTACTCAGCAGAATTAAAAGGCATGCTAGGTTGCTGCATGCCATGACAACATCATGATGCACACATACAAACTTAGAAGAATGTAACGTTTCTCCTGTGCACATCTCTGACTTAGTTGTTCTTTCTTTTCATTTCCTTTTCTTCTGATCCTTGGTCCAATTCCAGTCTTACTTTTCATTTTTTGTGTTTTTTGCACCCCTTTACTCATCCTCACTTTTTTATTCTTGGTTCCTCAGTTCCTTGAACCTTGCTGTTTCTCATATCTGACCAACTTAATTGTTTCAAATCTATTTTTCAGTCTTTTTTGGGCAAATTTCTACTAATTTTAAAGCCTAGATTTTGTGGCTGTTAAAAATGTTAAGCTACATCAGTGATGTCTTTTTTTTCCCGGTAAGGATATTACTTATGATCTTTGGGTCGTACATTTCTCTAGTCCTAACACTGGAAATCAAGTTGAAAACAAATAATTTTAGTTTAGTCTCATTTGTTCAAACCAACTTTCTCCCTAGCCTCTACTGAATTATTCAGATGTTTGACATTAAGATCAGAATGTAGATGTTCTCTAGTGGGATTACAAGATTTCTTTTCATTATACTGAAATGTGTAACAATACAATTCTTCAAGAAGACTGTGGTCCAATCTACCTTGAGACTATTAACAATCTGCTTCTATATAGAAATATGCTGGCCCATTAGTTTTCTGATCTTGTGTCAAACTTTGAAATTCACACAGTTTCCCACAGTTGAAGGGTGGGCAAGTTCTTTAACTGGACAATGTTAAGTAAGGTTTTCAGTCTGGATTCTTCAACTTCCTCCAAGCTTCCTTATCTTGACCTTGTCGTCCAGGTTGCCAACAGCACTGAAAATAAGCTTTGAAGGTTAGCTTAAATGTGTGTTTTGCCCTGAAAGTAGATCTCATTCTGCTCTTGTTTCATTCAATATGCAGAACACCGAGTCTGTCCTCAGAGAGATGGAGAACCTTGCATCTTTTATGTTTGTAGAGTTGGATGAGTTTGGGAGTATGGATGCAACTGACTGGATTTTTTTGGGGGCTTATACAACTGTCACTTTTGTAGAGTTTTTTCTGCACATTATCCTTTAACATTGTCTTCATTATGCATTCTCCTGCAGTAGAACGGAACAGAGGTTCTATACTTCTTGGGAAATCCATAAGCAGGGAATGGCCAAGGATTCCCTGGACAAAAGGTAAGGCAGAAAAACACATGCTTAACACACATATCCGCTCACCGGCCACTTCATTTGGTACACCTATTCAATTTCACATTTACCCCAAAAGGCAAAAAACATAAATCACAGCAGCGACTGAGTAGTATCAACTGATTTTCAGATTGGGCTTTTAACCCGAAGGTGTTTTTAGTAGCCCTGAGAGTCATTAGGCACAAATATATCCCCTCCAAAAAGTGAAACAGAAACTTGACCAGTCACTTTTCTTTTTTTGTGTAAATCTCCTGAACTTGCTAAAAAAGTTCCAACATTCAACAATTCTGATGTACAACTCTTAATGACAGAGTTTACTTCATAGCTGTATTCTGATATTTTTTTGTTTTTGTGTCCTTTTCAGGAGATTTTGTTCTTTTGTGAACAGGTAAAACTAATTGAACTACTACCAAAAAGTTGACCAAAAAAATACTTTTATAATTTTTTTTTTTTTTTTTTTTTTTTTTAATGGGCGGTGGGCATCAACACAGAAAAACTAAGGCCCCGATCAACCAAAAAA